GAGAGAGTGTGTGTGTGTGTGTCTGTGTGTGAGAGAGAGAGAGGGAGTGTGTGTGTGTGAGAGTGTGTTTGTAAATATGATTTATTCTGAAGCAATAGTCTCATTTTATCCATGGGCATTTTTTTTACCTTTATAGAGGGCATTTTCCCACTAATCTCATTAATACTTTCATTTCAAAATCTTACATTCGATCTATAAATTCAATTATAATAATGTGATTATCTACACATCATCAAACTAAATCATTTACACTGAAAAATACAACTGCGTTAAATAATATTATGGGATTCTTTTAAATATTTTTGAATATACAAACAAGAAATGATACTCTTCAACGAAATTAAAACGCCAGTAGTGAGCGTTTAATGAGCGAGTCATTGAGTCGTTCATTCAAACGATTCGTTCAAACGGCTGATTCATCAGATGTTAATGCGTGGGCGAATGGAACTTTGACTCACTCAACCGATTCGTTCAAACACGGAATCATTCAGCAATGAATCGTCTGGTTTCTGTGGTTCCGCCTAAAATGTAAGTGACCTGATATTACTGTACTTGCTTATTTAACTGTTTACAGAACTATTAAACAGTCGTAATGGTGAAAACGTCGTGTGATGTTGCCTAACTAACTGTATTTTAAATATAAAAACTTTCCATTTTGAATTTTTACCTCAGGATGCTGAGGCTGCATTATATACAGTAGCTATATCCACTATTCTCCACTTACTCTAAATGTAATAAAATCTGAATAATACTTGCGTTTTGGGCTCCGGCCCAATTTAAACCCTATGGGTGTGTGTGTATACAGTTATTTGCCAAAGCATGTGCATTCTTTTATGATCTCGACTATTATTGATAAAAACAAACCTCTTTACAGACTGCTTCTTCTTCATGATGTCACTCGCATGTCTGTGTAAAATCCTAAAGATCTGTCAGATATTTCAGGAAACTTTAACGCGCTAAACGTTGAAGTTTCGCACGCAGACACGTTTACTTCGCTCCCACGCGTGTGCGCAGAGTTTATCCGCCCCCCTGGAAATCTCACACACTGATCATAGGTTCCTGACGCGGAAGCGTTCGCATTCGAAAGACTCGCCTCGATAAACATATCAGAAACACGGGTTTAAATAGAACAGTAGCATTTATGGATTGTTTTATCGCCCGTTTGAATAAAGCGCGCGTAATTGCCAATCACCGCGGTTTGTTTCTCATCGGCGCGGTTAGCCGCGGGACCGCGTGACGTCACTTCCTGTTGCTGGTACGCATGATGCAGGAACATTCTGTTAAGTTTGTAATGCATTATTCTTCTTGTCTGTGTTTATAGAGAATGTGTTATAATGATGATTTAATATATAGAAACACGAATCTGTCGTCGCATAACGTTACGTCGCTCGCATATATATGCATATTTAATTAGTTTTAATTTTTAGATTTAATTTTTTATATGCTTTAATTTAATATCTGTGACCCTGGAGCACAAAAGCAGTCATAAGGGTAATTTTTTGATATTGAGATGTATACATCATCTGAAAGCTGAATAAATAAGCTTTCCATTGATGTATGGTTTGTTAGGATAGGACAATATTTAGCTGAGATACAACTATTTGAAAATCTGGAATCTGACGGTGCAAAAAAATCTAAATATTGAGAAAATCATCTTTAAAGTTGTTCAAATGAAGTTCTTAGCAATGCATATTACTAATCACACATTAAGTTTTGATATATTTACGGTAGGACATTTACTAAATATCTTCATGGAACATGATCTTTACTTAATATCCTAATGATTTTTAGCATAAAAGAGAAATGTATAATTGTGACCCATACAATGTATTGTTGGCTATTGCTACAAATATCCCCCAGCGACTCAACACTGCTTTTGTGCTGCAGGCTCACATTTCATTACGATTTAATCGTTTTATGATGTTTTAATACTTTTCAAGGTCTGTTAGTTTAGTAATATATGTTGCATTTGGTTTCATGATCCTGATTAGATCTGATTTCTCTGGTTTTCTCAGAGATTGATACAGATCATCATCATCGTCGTCTGATGAAGGCTCAGGAGGCGTCGGAGGGTGCCGTGGGCAGACGGCTGAGCTGTGATGGAGAGAGAGGAACGGTTCGTTACCTGGGTCCGGTTCTTCCCACCGCAGGTCCGTCTCTGTTCATTCAGCTTTATTTATTTCGTATTTTATCCAAAGCGACTTACAAATGAGGACAATAGAAGCAGTCAAAACTAACAAAAGAGCAACAATGTATAAGTGCAAATGACAAGTCTCGGTTAGCCTAACGCTGTACACGTAGAAAAAATAGAAAGCTAGTGTTTGTTTCTTTTTTGTTGTTGTTGTTGTTGTTTTTTAAATAAAAAAAGAAGATAAATATAGATAAAGTAGAATTAAAATAGAATAGAAAGTGTTAAGAGTTAGAGGGTCAAATAAAGTGTAAACAGATGTGTTTTTAGTCGTTTCTTGAAGATGGCTAAGGACTGCTGAATAATACGCCGTTCTCTTGCAGAACGCAAGCTTCTAGAGGCACATAACTCTGAAGTAATGAATTTAGGTAAATGGGTGCAGAGCCAGTGGTGGTTTTGTAGGCAAACATTAATGCCTTGAATTTAATGCGAGCAGCTACTGGTAGCCAGTGCAAACTGATGAACAGAGGTGTGATGTGTGTTCTTTTCGGTTCATTAAAGATTAATCTTGCAGCGGCATTTTGGATTAATTGTAGAGGTTTGATAGAACAGTCTGGAAGACCTGCCAAGAGAGCATTGCAATAGTCCAGCCTGAACTATTACAGCTTTATAGCTATAAAGATATATATATACAAATAGATATATTTATAGCTATTATTGCTTTATACACTATATTTTCAAAAGTATTGGCACCCCCTTCTAATGAACAGGTTTGACTGCTGGAGCATGTAATGATATTCTAGGGAATTGTGTGCTTCTAATTTTATAGCAACAGTTCGGACAGGACTCTTTTCTATTCTAACAGTGCCTCTGTGTATAAGGCAAGGTTCAAAAAGAAAAAAAATGATTGAGTCAGTGTGGAAGAGCTTGACTGGTCTGCAGAAACCTTGAGCCAAAAACTCATCAGCAAACACCAGTGACGTGTACATATGTCTGCAGTCATTTTAGACACTTCCAAACCTGTTGCAACAGAGATGGAAATACATTTTTTAAATGCATGAATTATGTTTCCATCTTTGTTGCCACAGGTGACTTTTTCTGTTCTAAAGAAGGGGGTCCCAATACTTTTGTCCATATAGTGTATGTACAAGTCACTGGTGTTTGCTGATGAGTTTTTGGCTTAAGGTCCGCATTTAAAGTCACACCAGACCAGTCAAGCTCTTCCACACTGACTCAATCAATCATGTCTTTTTGAACCTTGCCTTACACACAGAGGCATTGTTAGAATAGAAAAGAGTCCTGTCCGAACTGTTGCTATAAAATTAGAAGCACACAATTCCCTAGAATATCATTATATGCTCCAACATTAAGATTTGTACTCATGGAAATTTCTAAAGCAGTCAAACCTGTTCATTAGAAGGGGGTGCCAATACTTTTGGCAGTATAGTGTATGAGGTTTGGTCTGATGTCCGTCTGTCTTCTGTTCCTGCAGGTGTGTGGCTGGGAGTGGAGTGGGATGGTCCAGAGAGAGGAAAACACGA